ACGTCATAGCTTTCTGCTAAGTAGTTAATTTCATAGCTTTCCAGTGTGTCTTTGAAGTAAACAAATTTAAACTCCATTGTTTGAAGTGTGTATGAACATAAGGAATTAAATGCAACAGTAACTGCATGCCCCCTTCCCTGTTCTCAGCCTAGCATTCTGGAATTTTATCTCCAGTCTTGCTGGCACCATGCCTCCATTCGGCTTTGTCTGCTGAAATTGGGCCTTAGTAACGTGGTTTCGTGGGTAATTTAAGATAAAGAATTTCCCCCTTTATAAAAGTCAGCCTAGTAATGGAGTGCACAGTACATTTCATGTGTCCTTGATTACTGAATACATACTTTCTGGTTTATGAAAATCTTTTTATTTATTTATTTATTTTTATTTATTTTTATTGATTTCAGGGAGGAAGGGAGAGGGAGAGAGAGATAGAAACATCGATTATGAGAAAGAATCATCGACCAGCTGCCTCTAGCATGTCCCAAAGTGGGGATTGAGCCCCCAACCTGGGCATGTGCCTTGACCGGGAATCGAACCATGACCTCCTGGTTCATAGGTCGATGCTCAACCACTGAGCCATGCCGGCTGGGCTGGTTTATGAAAATCCTGCTTATGGCATAAAGTGAGGTGTGCTTTGCTCCTGGCACTCATTGGTCTGATTTGGAAAGGCTGTGCTTCAGTCTCCATACAGGAGGATCTCTTGGCACTGGGAACTGAATTGTTACTAACAGGGGAAAAGGAGGCTTTAAAAATAATCAGGTGCTAGCTAGATAAGCAAAAAAGTTTATATATATTTAAACTATAGTGGAAAAATTTAAGCAAAATCAATTGTCTTTTAAAAATCCCAATGGCCTGTTATACTTTAATATTTTTAAATTGACAATCTTGAAACACAGAAGTTTGCAATTGAGTGCAGGTCAGCCTGTCAGCATTTAGAACATATTTCCTTCATGCATGTGTAATGTGCGTGGAGCATATATGTGAATGTGCACGTACATTCTTGTATTGGAAGCTTCATTTCAAGGCAGATTAGCATGAAGGTATTAATTAATTTGTTTTTAATTTATTTTGATTGATTTCAGAGAGGAAGGGAGAGGGAAAGAGAGATAGAAACATCAATGATGAGAGAGAATCATTGATCGGCTGCCTCCTGCACACCCCCTACTGGGGACCAAGCCTGCAACCTGGGCATGTGCCCTTGACCGGAATTGAACCCAGGACTTTTCAGTCCGCAGGCCAATGCTCTATCCACTGAGCCAAACTGGCTAGGGCAAGACGTTAATTTACAAACCACAATATTAGGGGCAATTATTCCCACTATGACAGAGCTGCTTTTGATTTTGAAATCAAGTAGGAAGCTCCCTGAGTATATTTAAAGGATTGTGTTAAGATGTTTTGATGCACGTTTACCTTCTCAGTGAGTTACACCCAGCAAATAATAGTTACAATTAAAGTTATTAGTTTGTCCTTTTTATGTCATTACATTATAATTTATTTATTTTATGTTTTACAAATTATACTAACATAATTATCCACTAACCTCTAGAAAGGTAATGTAATTAGTTTGACAAATCCACACACTGTGACTAATTTTCAGTTTTCTCTTCATTCTTTTTTATTATTATTTTTTATTTCATAGAGGAAGGGAGAGAGATAGAAACATCAATGATGAGATAGAATCATTGATTGGCTGCCACCTTCATGCCCCCTACTAGAGGGATCGAACCCGAAACCCCGGCATGTGCCCTTGTCCGGAATCAAACCTGGGACCCATCAGTTCGCAGGCTGACACTCTATCCACTGAGCCAAACTGGGTAGGGCTCTCTTCATTCTTTTTTTGGTGCAGAAGCAGCTGAGTTTTTCTTCAGTAGTTCAAATTATGGTTTCTAGTAGCTGTAATTTGACACTATACCTCCCAAAACACTGTATCATCTGAGCAAAACCTTATGGAAGGAAGCCAGACATTGGATTCCTATTTCATCTAGAATGAAATCCTGATTCCTTGATAGTACTCACAGGAGTGTCATCTGCCACCTGCCATCCCCATCTCGTCCCCCACTCTCCAGCCACGCCTCCTCTGGCCTGGGGGACTATGCACTTTCCCACGTCAAGGCTTTGAAAATTCGGGTTCCTCGGTTTGAAACCCTCTTGCCCATCTCCTTGCATGCCTGTTTTCTTCTCACTTTTAATGGCTCCTCACCTCCCCCAAATAAATAACAAGTGCTGTCAAGGATGTAGAGAAAAGGGAATCCTCATGCACTGTTTGGTGGCAATGCAGATTGGTGCAGCCACTGTGGAATACAGTATGGAGGAGCCTCAAAAAATTAAAAATAGAACTGCCTTATGACCCAGTGATTTTACTTATAGGAATATATCTGAAGAAACCCAAAACAGTAACTCAAAAGAATATATGCCCCCTATGTTCATTGCAGCATTATTTACAATAGCCAAGATATGGAAGCAGCCAGGTGCCCATCAGTATATGAATGGATACAGAAGCTGTGGTACGTCTATACAAAGGAATATTACTCGGATATTTTAAAAAATGAAATATTACCATTTGCAACAACATGGATGGACCTAGACGGTATTATGCTAAGTAAAATAAATCAGTCAGAGAAGGACACATACTATATGATTTCACTTATATGTGGAATCTAAAGAACAATATAAACAAACAAAACAAAAACGGACTCATAGATACAGAGAAAAGTCTGATGGTTGCCAGAGGGGAAGGGGGTTAGGGTGAAAAAAGTGAAGGGATTAAGAAGTACAAATTGGTGGTTACAATATAGTCATGGGGATGTAAAGTACAGCATAGGGAATATAGTCAATAATATTGTAATAACTATGTATGGTGCCATTAGGTACTGGAAATTTCAGAGAAACACTTTGTAAAGTATATAATTATCTAACCACTATACTCTACACCTGAAACTAATACAAAATAATATTGAATGTAAATGGTTTTTAAAAATAAAATTTTAAAAATGTTCTTTGTGATAGCATAAATGGACCGAGAGAGTATTATGCTAAGCTAAATAAGCTAATCAGAGACAGACAGATAGCACACGATCTCACTTATATGTGGAATTTAATGAACAAAATAAACTGATGAACAAAATAGGTCCAGAGGCATGGAGGCATGAAATGGACTGGCAGATCCCCGAGGGAGGGGGGTGGGGAGGACAGAAAGAGATTGACCATAGAACATATATGCATATATGCATAGCTCATGGACACAGGCAATAGTGTGGTGAAGGCCTGGGTGGGGCGGGGACTGGGTGGAGGGGGGCAGAGTGGGGGGGAATGGGAAACATCTTTTAAAAGTGTCAACACACAAAAAATAATTAATTAAAAATGTTGCCTCCCCAGAGTGGCCTGCCCTTGCCATCCATCTAAAGTAGAGCTCTAACAGCATGGATGGATCTGGAGAGTGTCATGCCAAGTGAAATAAGCCAGGCAGAGAAAGATAAGTATCAAATGACCTCACTCATATGTGGAATCTAATAAACAAAATAAACTAATGAACAAAATAGATCCAGAGACATGGAGGCATGGAGCAGACTGAGGAATCTCAGAGGGAAGGCAGGGGTTGGGGGTTAGGGGTTGGGGGAAGTGATTAACCAGGGAACTTATATGCATACTAGAGGACCACTACATGAAATTTGTGCATGGGGGGGGGGGGGGGCGGTGTCCCCTCAGCCCAGCCTGTACCCTCTCCAATCCAGGACCCCTCTGACTGCCAGTTTAGGCTCAATCTCAGGGATCAGGCCTAAACCAGCAGTTGGACATCCCTCTCACAATCCGGGACCACTGGCTCCTAACGGCTCACCTGCCTGCCTGCCTGATTGCCCCTAACTTCTCCCCCTCCAGCCTGATTACCCCTAACCACCTCTGCCTGCCAGCCTGGTCGCCCCTCACTGCCCCCCCCTGCTGGCCTGGTCACCCCCAACTGCCCCCCCTGCCAGCCTGATTGCCCCCAACTGCCCCCCCCCACCACCACTGGCCTGGTCGCCCAGGCAGTCTGCTGGTCATTACTGTTACTGTGATGGTGTCCCAGACAATTTGCATATTCCTCTATCTACACTAACAAAAGAGAAACATGCAAATTGGTGTCACTCTGCTACACCCACCAGCCAATCAGGATGAGAATACAAATTAACCCAACAAATACGGTGGTTAATTTGCATATGCAGGAGTGGAGCAGACTGAGCCGAGCAAAGACTGAAGATGACTGAAGACGACTGAAGACTGAAGACTGAAGAGGCTTGGCTTCTCCGCTACAGCCAGAGCAAAGGTCTGGGTCCCAGATGTGGAAGTGTTATTTTCCACTCAGCATAATTATTTTGAGCTTCATCTATGTTGTTGAATGTATTCATTCTTGTTTATTGCAAAGTAATTGTACTCATTTCCTGCGACCACTGTGACAATTATCATAGACTGGGTGGCTTACACCACAGAAATTCATTCCCTCACAGTTCTAGAAGTCTGAAGTCTGAAATCAAGGTGTCATCAAAATTGATTCCTTCGAATGGCTCTGAGGGAGACTTCGTTCCATGCCTCTGTCCTAGCTCGTGGTGGTAGATAAGTTCAACCAGGTGAATGGCAGCCTTCAGCCTGTTGCCAATCAGGTAGTCTTGTCCGTGGTTCTTCAACACCTGGTGAATTGGAGGGAGCAGGTTATGAACACAGGTGCACTCAGGCTGGGTCCCCTGCTCCTGCCCAGGTCTCTCCAGCCTGGCTTCCCACCTCTGCTGTCTTACTGGGCAGGTGCAGACCATCAGACCACATTCATCACCCTGACTCAGTGAAACAGAGAGAAGAGGGTCTCTGCTGTTCACACCTCACTCCTCAGCTGACGCCCAGGCTACCACTCTTTTTCCTTTTTCCATATCACTGGGCTCAGCTAGCACTGGCTGCACTGAGTTTCTTTTGGCCCCAGGGCCTACCCTTTGCAGCCCTGAACTTTAGCATTTCTCTCTCTCTCTCTCTCTCTCTCTCTCTCTCTCTCTCTCTCTCTCTCTCTCCTCTCATTGGGAAAAGATCTATCTCTATGACATTCTTCTTCAATCCTGAGCAGACTATTTCAGAGTATACATTTCTCCTCTGTCTGCTCTCCTTATTTCCTGATATATCTCTTTGGAATCTTATGCAAACCTGGGTTAACTTGAACTCACCATCTCCATTACAGCATGGGCTCTATCTCCTAAGTTGCACTATGTTATGATCTGCTGCTGAAGTGTCTGGTGTGAACTCCAGTGATGCCTGAAACTCACTTTGTAATTTATCCAAAAATAATATGTTTGATTATTAGAGAGAGGGACTGAGAGATAAAAACTCATGACAAAGCAAACATAATGAAAGGTTAATGGTTGTATCTTCGTGGTGGGTGCACATGTGTTCATTCTAAATGTATGGCCTTTTTCAAAATAAAAGGTTAGATAAATATATGATAGTTATTACAATATTCCAGCAATATGGGAATCATAAAGTACAAAGAGAATAAACACACATAGTACCACCAACTAAAGATAATAACATTTTGACAAATATACTTTCAGATCATGTATGCATATAAAAAATCCAATATAATAAAAGGGTAATATGCAAGTCGACCAAACGGCAGAATGACCAGTCGCTATGATGTACACTGACCACCAGGGGGCAGACGCTCAATGCAGGAGCTGCCCCCAGCCTGCAGGTCCCTATCGCCTAATAGGGGCCTGCCTGCCAACCTCTCCATCCCTTCCCCCGATAGGCAGGCTCCGATTTCTCGATGGTGAACGGGGAACTGGGGGTGGGTGGTGGTGGACGTGGGCAGTGCCAGACCAAGGCCCCCAACCTGCCAGTTGCCCCACACACACAGTGCACACAGAGGGCAACCAGCGTGGGGGAGGGGAGGAGAAGCAGGGCTGGTGGGAACAACCAACCACTCAGTCCCTCCCCCAGGCTGCAGGCTCCAATTGCCCGATGGACAACGGGGAACCAGAGGTGGGGGCAGGGCCGGCTTCTGACAGCCGGGGAAGATGGCCCTGATCGCAGGCCAGGCCTGCATGAATTTCTTGTACTGGGCCTCTAGTAGATAAATATTTGGTAAAGGTTATGATAACATCAAAACCTATTTTGTAACTTACATTTTTAACTGATGTCACCATGGAGCTCTTTGATTTCAAAGTATCAGCATACTCTAACTGCAGTGCCTGCTGACCTTGTCATTGAGCGAATGTCCTCTAAACTCTCAGCACCACAAGGCCCAGGAGGGTGTATTTTCAGATTGGTATTAAATTATTTGTTCATTAAATATGAACAAATAAATAATGAATTAAAATTTCTAAAATGAATGAAAGACTGTTTCATTAATGCTTTATAAAGATGAGGGTGTTGGTGTTAAACCTTTTTTATATGTAAGCCTCCTGTAGTCCTTACAATCATTATTTTGGTCCATAATTTTTATTTAGTTTGATTTCAGGAAATTTGGAACTTAAAATCTTCTTTTTTTACCTTCAAAGGGAAAAAATATGGTCTATACTACATACATAATGATGAAACTTTATTTCCTTAGTTTGCATAGCTTTCCTCTAAAGTCTGACAACCCAACATTTTGTAGATTGTTTCTTAACATCTTTTCATCAGTCACATCCTCTCCATTCTACAGCCCCCATCTCTGTTTAGATACCTACCATCCAACCCAGAAACATTACCATATCCTCCTGTTGGGCAATTGGTCTCATGTTTCCTACGCATGTTGTCAGCATATTTTCTGATAAGTTGCTTTCTTCCTGCTTCTCTTGGATGAAAAGCCCCTGCATGGTGCTCTGCAGGATCTACTCCAATTGCTAGTATGGCTCTAACTGTGGCCATGAAATGCCATCAAAGAGAGAATTCTAAATCGGGTCCTAGTAAACTGAACTTTTGCTGACAGATTATAACTTGGGTATAACAGGTACATGTCCTCCCCACAGCTGATTTTGATAACATCCCTGGAGAGCCAGGGTGCTCCATCAGTAGTCAGGAGGGCCCATTGGAAGTGAAGGTCAAATCCCCAGGACTGCCCAGGCACCAGTTCTCTTTGTCCTCTAGTCTCAGTTCCCCAAACACTGACCAGTCCACTTACCTTTTCAAAGGCTGGGAAATAACGATTTGTTGTTTTCTCTCTGATCTGGGTCATCTTGGTGTCTTGTTCATCAGGTGGGCATAGTGGGAAACGCATGGTCATTTCATTCAAATCTGCAATACCTTCTGAATACATATCAATCCTGAAAGACAAAAATGACCCAATTGTCAACTGTCACCTGCCTTACACGTTATAGTTTAAAAATCTAAGAGAATGGGGTATTGGGAGATGGCAAAGTAATTCACCTCCATTGGGTGCATTTTTATATGCCAGTCATTCAGCTATGATTTTCACTCAACTTTAACATTTCATATTAAGGTAGATATATACATCTACAATTTTTGTTATACTCATGACCAAATATACTGACAGAGAACATCAGTGAGGTGTCCAGAGTGGAATCATTGCAGGTACCCAGTGAGATGCTACCTAGGGTTTGCCATCTCTGCTGTGGTTGGTTCTGGGCACAAACTCCATGTGATTCATAAGGCTAAAGACCTGCCACCTGAGGAATCAGCAGAGAGTCCCTGGTACAGACACCTCAGTCATGTCCCTCTCCCTCTCTCATCCTGGCCATTTATATGCCCAATATTAGCAGTTCTTCCAATGAGTTCTCATCGAACACAGTCCCCATAGAACACAGTTTCCATAGAACACAGTTCCCAACCCGCTCCATGTGCTGTTTCTGAACTTTGGCCATCTTTGCACTGCTCAAGTCTCCATCTAAAACATCCTCTGAATTGGCGTGATTCTTTATATACTTCCAACCGTGCATATTCCAGGAGATATGTTTTTATTGTGCCTAACTGGGCTTCCTATTTCCTTTTTTTTTTAAAGATAAAAATTTTATAGACATTTAATCCACACACCATAATGCCACTCTTTTTAAATGTACAATTTTGTGATTTTTCATAAATTCACAGGTTTCTGTACCATCACTGCACTCTAATTTCAGAATATTTCCACACCCCCAAGGGAAATGCTGTGTGCTCTCGCAGCGTTCCACATTCTCTCCACTCCCCACCCCGCACTGTCCCCCAGCTCCTGGAAACCAAAATTGCTTTCTGTTTCTATGAAAAGAAATGTTCTCGACACTTCATGTGAAAGACATCATACAACACGAGCCTTTGGTGTCTGGTTTCTTTTATGCAACATAATGTTTTCAAGGCTTATCCACATTCATTCCTTTTCATGGCCAAATAATATTACATTCATGGGTACACAGAACTTTGTTCATCCGTTCATCAGTTGATGAACACTTTTGTTGTTTCCACTTTTAGAATATTATGAATAATGCTTTTATGAATGTTTTTTGTACAAGTTTTGAATATTATGAATAATGCTTTTATAGATATTTTTGTACAAGTTTTAGTGTGAATGTATTTCTTATTCACTTAGGTACCGTAGTGGAGGTGCTGACATGGTAAATCTACGTGTAACGTTTTGAGTAACTACTAACAGTTTCAATCATGTGGTCCCATCACAACAGGGAGGAGACCCTCCCTCCCCCCAGAGGTAGTTGTATTGAACAAAACTGGCTGCTTTAGTACTAACTCAAAATGCTTGAGGGAACCGTAGCATCTTGGGTACCAACCTCTGCAAGTCTTTGTCAAATGGCCAGTAAATGTAACTGGCTGGTATCAGGTTCCTGGTAACTATTCTTGTAATTTCTGAAACTTGAAAAGTAGCTCCTTTGGGTCCTTTCCTTTCCCAGCCTCTTCCTGAAAGGCCTGAGCACCCGGAGTCATGACTCCACCACCCTCCTGGCTTCAGAGTTCACCAGGGTTTGGAAACCTCTGTCACTGCCTGTGCTACAGCCATGGACTGAGTCTTCTTCTCTAAGAAGTGGAATTCCTCCTCCTCATGCTCCCTGCTGGCCTGGACCTCAGCATTTACCTCCAAGGGACATGCTGCTACTGGTCATGATCCCCCGGCACAATCCAGCTCATTCAAGGAAGAATCAAAATTGTTGTTAATTGTTGATGAAAAACACAGAAAAAATACCTACAGGGCTCTCTCCTTTATGTCTCTCCCATAGAGGTTGTGTTTGGCGGCAATGGCGGCTGTGGGTGGAGTTGTGCAAGGTGTTATGACCATTTGTGATGAAGTGGTAGGGATGCCGCACACCAGGCCTGCACACCAGGACCTCACAGGAGAGTGGAGGAGGCACAGTGGCATTCAGCTTTGTTAGTAGTTTAGAGGGCTCTGTGAGAGGCACAGAGAAACAACTGAGGTGAGGTGTTAAGCATGGTCAGGTGGGAAGGAGGGGGTGAGGACAGATGGGAGGAGGAATTCCCACAGGCCTGGAACTCACTGAAGGATTTAAAGAAGGTGGTGATACTCAAATGTGCATTTTAGGAAAACCATTTTGGTTGCAAGGAGACAGCAGACGAGGTGGAACTGAAGCTACAGACAGGGAGCCCCGTGTGTCTGTCAGCTCCCTCCCCACGTTATGAGGTAGCTCCTTGTGGGGAGAAAAGCTCAATATGCCAAAGCCCAAAGCCCAGATTTTCTGGGAGGGTGTTCATTCTGAGCCCTGAGAGTGGCTGAAGTTAGAAATCACTTCTAATCCAGCCACTCTGGCAGAGTGACAGGCCAGAAAAATAGAAAAAAAGATATTATATGCATTCATTAACTATAATTTATACATGTAATCTGTACCTTGGAAGTCCAGGTCTGAGCAACATTGAGTCATCTGAGAGAAAGCTCAGCCAGGGGCCCCACCGAGCATTAAGCAGCAGAGCGTTGATGTGCCAGGGAGTCATGGACTGTAAGGACAACAGAGTCAACAGAGAGCAGAGCTTGGGTCTGTTTATTTGTAAATCATTTCCCCACCCCCTAGGACACACTGTGTGTCTGTTGGCCCCCCCTGGAAAGGGCCCATTGAGCCCCCTCCATCAGCACCAGCATGAAGCTGGGAAAGCGACACCCAAGACAGGAAGATAAGTCCTTCAGTCACTCGTAGGCACATGGAGATGCACTAAAAAGTCTGTAGTAGGCATATCACTGTTGTATTGCATGAGAACCAAACTCATAACAAAAAACAAAACAAAACATTTTTATTACCAGAAGGAAAACAGCTCCTAGGTAAAAAAAAAAAAAAATTCTTATGCCATTACCAAGACGGGTAGCTATTTTCTGTGAACAACTGAGAATGTCAGGTATGAATTTTATACTTGACTCTTTGATGGGCTCTGTGATGGACATGTGACAATTCCTGGAAAAGAAGAGAGATGTCATAAACCACGTTTCCATTTTTTTAAAAATATATTTTATTGATTTTTTACAGAGAGGAAGGGAGAGAGATAGAGAGTTAGAAACATCGATGAGAGAGAAACATCGACCAGCTGCCTCCTGCACATCTCCTACTGGGGATGTGCCCGCAACCCAGGTACATGCCCTTGACCGGAACCGAACCCAGGACCCTTCAGCCGCAGGCCGACGCTCTATCCACTGAGCCAAACCGGTTTCGGCTCACGTTTCCATTTTTTGTTTAATTTTGAATTCCAAGAGAAATGCAATAGAAGGAGATTGAAAATCTGGTTACATATTGGAACTTAATGAACAAGATTAAACTATAACTAAATCTGTTCATAGGAGGTTTAATTATTTTGGAAAAGTTTATTATTCTCACAATAGCCAGGATCTACACCTAGGTAGAGGCACTTCATTGTTGGACAACGTCAGAAGATTGGTCCTACATGCGCTGGGCGTCCATGCCTGCTTTATTTAAAATAAAAATAAATAAAGATTTTATTTATTTACAATCTTCCGGGCTTCTTCTAATGCTTTCGCATCTACAGGAGGCTTCCTCTGACTGCCGGGCTGCAGAAACTTCTTCACAGGTGGGAGGTTGCTGATCCTGGTTTTCAGGGCCTGCAATGCACAAAGCACAGCCTCAGATGGAGACACAACACCCACCACTCATTACACAGGCCAGGGGATCTGAGGACAGACCAATGGCGTCCCCTCCATCAGCACCAGCAGGGGGCTGGGAAACAGACACCCAGCAAGAAAGGAAGATAAGGGGAAGGAAACACAGTTCAATAACTTTCATCTTCCCTCAGAGACACGGTTAAGACTTGATTCAGTTCACAGTCTTCCGTGTCTTCCTCCCCACATGGAAATCCTGTGGTTTCTCACTTTAGTGCAGACAAGGAAGACTAATGTGACTGTCAGAGAAACACAGGTAAAGGCTCCAAACTGGAGAAATGAATATGTGGGACAACTGGGCTGGAACTGAAGATAGAAAATATAGGTCAACCATGCGGACAGTCAAAAGCAATCTTCCCTGTGAGAGAGAGAGACAGAAAGAGAAAAGGGACAGTCAGGAGGGAAGCACAGTGTTTGAGAGAAGGAGCAGGAGCTGAGGACAGAGACGCTGAGTCCTGGGTTCTTCTCATTGTGAAAGACAAACTATTCTCTTTGGGGTGGTGTCTGCCTCCAATTTCTATGGCAGAACAAGATTCATTTCCTGCCTCAGACCAGGGCCTAAAGCAAATTTTGGAGACCTGGGGGCAGCGGAGCCTGGAAAATGATGTGATCATAACATCGCCAGTCCAAGAGCCCAGATATTAGATTCCAAGATGGGGGATGTGGACCTTCCCTCCCAGGGCTGTGAAAGGGGTCACCTTCAGCAGCAGGAAGTTGGCCATTAGGCTGGGGTCAATCTCTTCAATATAGTAGATAAGTTCAACCAGGTGAATGTCAGCCCTGCTGAGCCTGTTGCCAACCAGGTAGTGTTGTCCGTGGCTCTTCAACACCTGATGAATTGGAAAGAGCAGGTTATGAACACAGGTGCACTCAGGCTGGGTCCCCTGCTCCTGGTTAAAAGAATGGATAATTACTTGGTAAAGAATATGATAAGGTCTCTCCAGCCTGGCTTCCCACTTGTGCTGCCTAACTGGGCACGTGAGGAGCATCAAACCATGTTCATTGCCCCTGACTCAGTGAAACAGAGAGAAGACGGTCTCTGCTGTTCTCACCTCACTCCTTAGCTGATGCCCAGGCTACCATCTCTTTTTCCTTTTCCCATATAACGGCGCTCCCTCTGTGCATCTTGGTCTGGCCCAGGGCTAGCACTGGCTGTGTGTCTGTTGGCTCCTTGCCCTACCCTTTGAAGCCCTGAACTTTAGCACATGGCTCTCTCTCTCTCTCTCTCTCTCTCTCTCTCTCTCTCTCTCTCTTTCCTTCTCTCTGTCTCCTCTCTCACTTGGGCAAAGATCCATCTCTAGGACATCCTTCTTCAATCCCAAGCAGACTATATCAGAGCTACATTTCTCCTCTACTCATTTCTGTCTGCTCTACTCATTTCCTGATCTATCTCTTTGGAACCTCATGCAAACCTGGGTCAACTTGAACTCACCATCTCTCTTGCAATATGGGCTCTGTCTCCTAGGTTGCACTATGTCATGATCTGCTGCTGAAATATGTGAACTGCAGTGATACTTGAAACACACTTTGTAATTTATCCAAAAACAATGTCTGATTGATAGAGAGAGGGACTGAGAGATAGAAACGCATGATAAAGCAAACATAATGAAAGATTAATGTTTGTATCCCCATGTTGGGTTCATATGTTTTTAATTATTCTGAGTGTATGAAATTTTTCATAATAAAAGTTTTGGCGGAATGTATGATATTTATTAAAATACTAGAGTCCCGGTGCATGAAAATTCATGCACTGGAGCGGGGGGTGGGGGGGTGGGGGGGTGGGGGGAGGTCCCTCAGCCTGGCCTGCTCACAGTCTAGGAGCCCTCAGGGATGGGACATGACCCAACCATCAGGGGAATGTGACGCCCTCATCACACCTCTGCTGCTGCCACTGCTAGCAGCGCAAGCTTCGACCAGTCCAGGTTACCTGAGCCTCAGGGGGGCTGAGGGAGGGTCCTACCACACCGTGCACCTGCCATGCACCTTCCCCAGCTGGGCTGAAATGACTGGAGGACTCCGGCGGGGCTGAGGGGACTGGGCATTGCCATCTTGTGGCTATGGGCACCACCATCTTTGTGATGGTGTGATGGTCAATTTGCATATTCTGTCTTTATTAGATAGGATTTCAGCAATCATACAGTATAAAGAGAATAAACACACATAGCACCACCAACTAAACATAATAACACATTGGCAATACACTTTCAGATTGTGTATGCATATAAAGGAATGGATAATTATTTGGTAAAGAATATGATAAGGTCAAAACCTATTTTGTGCCCTAGCCGGTTTGGCTTGGTGGATAGAGCATCGACCTGCAGACTGAAGGGTCCCAGGTTCGATTCTGGTCAAGGGCACATGCCAGGGTTGCGGGCTCGATCCCCGTGCAGGAGGCAGCCAATCAATGATTCTCTCTCATCATTGATGTTTCTATCTCTCTCTCCCTCTTCCTTCCTCTCTGAAATCAATAAAAAGATATTTTTTTAAAAACCCTATTTTGTAATATACATTTTTAACTGATGTTATCATGGAGCTCCTTGATTTCAAACTATCAGTATACTCTAACTGCAGTGCCTACTGACCTTGTCATTGAGTGAATGTACCCTAAACTCTCAGCACCACAAGGCCCAGGAGGGTGTAGTATTAGATTACTATTAAATTTTTCACTCTTTGAATATGGACGAACACACAAGTAATGAATTAAAATTTGTAGAATGAAAGAATGTTTCTTAAGTGCTTTTTAATGCTTTATAAAGATGAGAGTGTTAGTGTTAAGCCTTTTTTATACGGGAGCCTCATATACAGCACATTTAAAAACTTTTAATTGTATTTTATTACTTAAGATGAATCACAAAATTAAGACTTGAAATATTATTTATCTACAAAGGAAAATTTATGGACCGAACAATATCGAAATTTATTGAACTGTGGCTCTTAATTTGTATAGCGTAACTCTAAGAGAGAAAAAATATG